CCAAGGAGCCCACACCCACCACCCCCAAGGTGCCAGCTCCCACTACTCCCAAGGAGCCCGTGACCACCACCACCAAGGAGCCTGCAACCACCACCACCAAGGAGCCCGTGACCACCACCCCCAAGGGGCCTGTACCCACCACCCCCAAGGAGCCAGCTCCCACTAGCCCCAAGGAGCCTGCGACCACCACCACCAAGGAGCCCATAACCACCACCACCAAGGAGCCCACACCCACCACCCCCAAGGTGCCAGCTCCCTCCACTCCCAAGGAGCCCGCACCCACCACCCACAAGGTGCCAGCTCCCACCACCCCCAAGGAGCCCGCAACCACCACCCCCAAGGGGCCTGCAATCACCACCACCAAGGAGCCAGCTCCCACTAGCCCCAAGGAGCCTGTGACCACCATCACCAAGGAGCCCACACCCACCACTCCCAAGGAGCCTGCACCCACCACCCCCAAGGTGCCAGCTCCCACTATTCCCAAGGAGCCCGTGACCACCACCACCAAGGAGCCTGCAACCACCACCCCCAAGGAGCCCGTGACCACCACCACCAAGGAGCCCACACCCACCACCCCCAAGGTGCCAGCTCCCTCCACTCCCAAGGAGCCCGTACCCACCACCCCCAAGGTGCCAGCTCCCACCACTCCCAAGGAGCCTGCAACCACCACCCCCAAGGAGCCCGTGACCACCACCCCCAAGGGGCCTGCAATCACTACCACCAAGGAGCCTGTGACCACCACCACCAAGGAGCCCACACCCACCACCCCCAAGGTGCCAGCTCCCACTACTCCCAAGGAGCCTGTAACCACCACCCCCAAGGAGCCCGTGACCACCACCCCCAAGGAGCCTGCAATCACTACCACCAAGGAGCCTGCACCCACCACCCCCAAGGTGCCAGCTCCCACTACTCCCAAGAAGCCCACGACCACCACCACCAAGAAGCCTGCAACCACCCCCCCCACGGAGCCTGTACCCACCACCCCTAAGGGGCCTGCAACCACCACCACCAAGGAGCCTGTGACCACCACCACCAAGGAGCCCGCACCCACCACCCCCAAGGTGCCAGCTCCCACTACTCCCAAGAAGCCCATGACCACCACCACCAAGAAGCCTGCAACCACCACCCCCAAGGAGCCTGTACCCACCACCCCCAAGGAGCCAGCTTCCACTAGCCCCAAGGAGCCCATGACCACCACCACCAAGGAGCCCACGACCACCAACACCAAGAAGCCCACACCCACCACCCCCAAGCTGCCAGCTCCCACTACTCCCAAGGAGACCATGACCACAACCACCAAGGAGCCTGCACCCACCACCCCCAGGGAGCCTGCACCCACCACCCCCAGGGAGCCTGCACCCACCACCCCCAAGGTGCCAGCTCCCACCACTCCCAAGGAGTCCGTGACCACGACCACCAAGGAGCCTGCAACCACCACAAAGGAGGCTGCAACCACAACCACCAAGGAGCCTGCACCTACCCACCCCAAGCAGCTAGTGACCACCACCCCCGAGAAACCAGTAACCACCACCCCCGAGGAGCCCGCTCTCACCATCCTCGAGGATCCCACTCTCACCACCGCTGAGGAGCCGTCTCCTACCACCCCTGATGAGCCTGCTCCCATCATCCTCGAGGATCCCACTCCCACCACCCCTGAGGAGCCCACTGCTACCACACCTGAGGAGCCCACTCCTACCACCCCTGAGGAGCCCTCTCCCACCATCCTCAAGGATCCCACACCGACCACCCCTGAGGAGCCCACCCCTACTACCCCTGAGGAGCCCACTCCTACCACCTCTGAGGAGCCCGCTCCCACCATCCTCAAGGATCCCACACCGACCACCCCTGAGGAGCCCACTCCTACCACCCCTGAGGAGCCCACTCCAACTACTCCTGAGACACCTGCTCCAACCACCTCAGAGTCCTCTACTCCAACCACCACCATGGAGCCTCCCTCTACCCCCAAGATTCCTGCTAAACCAACTCCTGAGCTACCTGAAGAACCCACATCAAAGGCTATTGAAGACAGCCCCAAGGAGCCTACTGTACCTATAACCAAGGGTCCTGAAGTGACCAAACCCGAAATGACTACAACACCTGAAATTACAACTCCTGCACCTAAGATGACAACAAAAATACCCACAACTACAAGAAAAGAAAAGACTTCTGAATCTAAAATAACAAGTACAACTATGCAAGTGACAACTATCCCAACTGAAGATACTACAACATCAGCCAAAACAACTCTTACAGCAACAGCTGTTGCACCCCAAGTAACTACTACAACAAAAAAGACGACTACGACTGAGACTAAGAAGAAACCTGAAGCAACAGCTATACCAAAAGATACGGCTACTAAGTCTAAAAAGAAAACTCCCAAACCTCAAAAGCCAACCAAAGCACCCAAAAAACCCACTTCTACCAAAAAGCCAAACACAACACCTAAAGTGAGGAAGCCAAAGATTAGACCAACTCCCTCAAAGCCGATGACGTCAACAATGCCTGAATTGAGCACTATCTCTTTAGCTGAAGCCACCACCAGTCCTAACCAAGCTCCAAACTCAGAAATAGTTGAAGTATATCCAAAGAATGAAGATATAGATGCTGCTGGAGGAGAAAAACCTTACGTGATTCCCAGGCCCCCTGTGTTAAGACCTATAGTTATTTCAGGCATTGATTCCTTAGTGAGACCCCATCAAGGCATTAACATCAACCCCACGCTTTCAGGTAATAAGAATCAGTTACATTAATTTTTAAAACTGGTAATATTAACTTGTCCCTGGGTGGCACAAACAGCTTGCACTTTTCTGATAACCTCAAGATTGGTAGCTTGAACCCACCTAGCCATGGCACAGAAGGTCTGGAAATCTGCTTCCTTTAGATTACAGCCAAGAAAACCCTATGGAGCAGTTCTATTCTGTAACACATGGGGCCATCTTGAGTTGTAATCAACTCAATAGCAATTTTTTTTTTTTAAATGTTAACTTATATTTATCTGAACCGACATGCCCTAAGTATCATTCTACTGAGATCTATGATCTAGAACCCTGGACTTGTTAACTTACGAAGTTCTACAACTTTTCTGTAGGTAAGCAGAGCAGTAATCACAGGAAGCTTACTTCGTCTTTGGAAAATTGAGTAATAACCAGTTAATAACTTAGTGTTAGGAATTTAGTGTATGTGTCTGCAAGAAGCAGAGATGGCATACAGAATATCAAAAAAAAAAAAAAAAAAGGTTAGCTGGGAGTTTATTCTTAAAAAGTACAATGCAAAGCAAAAATTTGCAGTATTCTTTTCTTTTCCAAACCAAGTCCAAAGGACAATCAGAACTAAATAAAAAAAGAATTTCCCACTGAGTTAAAACATCCAATAACTGTCTGTATGAAGATTAAGGTAATCTGGCTCATTCTAATTCATAGTAATTTATTTTTATACACTACTTTCTGTGTAATACCACTTTTAAGTAAAATAGAATTTTGAAATATATCACTTCTGTTTCACCTCTGAAATACATTCACCTCAAACTATGCCCTTTAGGATTTTAGGAAAAGGTAAACAGAGGAAATGGAAGCCTGGGGGATTTGAAAACAATATAAATAAGTTTGTCATTGTATGTTTTATATTTGCCTAATATATTTTGTTAATTACTTGTTTTAGATGAGACTAATTTATGCAATGGTATACCAGTAGATGGACTGACTACTTTGCGCAATGGGACATTAGTTGTATTTCGAGGTGAGCTATGTACATATTTCTTTTTCTTCCCATCATTTTCTTCTTGGTATTTATGAGAACCAAAGCTATCTGGAGAGGAACCTGACTGATGAATTTATCTCAGTTTTGAGAACCTCAGAGTAAAAACCAAAATATTGGACTAACATAATTAGACATATTAAAGAAACAAAACAGTTCGAACTAATACTAAGGATTTTCCTTCCATTAAGAATTAAAAGGTAGTTCAATTTTTTTCATATCATATGAAATGACATTAAAATCTGTATCCCGTTTCATTTTATTTGAAAATAACACCTTGATTGTGATGTTTTCAAGTGTTACTCTCCACGGGAGAGTACCGGAATGGCATTATTTCATGTTTCCTAACTCTCTGTTGTACTGTTTGCTAGTCCAGTCTTCTTCAAATGTGATTAGTCATTAAATCTAAAAAGAAACAAATCATAGACTCACACCTAAAGATATTTTCATAATTAGAACTCCAATTCTGAAAGATAAAGAATTTGAGATCCTGAGAGATAACTGACTTTCCATTAGTCACAAAGCTGGAGGCTCTTTCCAGAGAAACGAGAAAACTAAAATATTCCTAAGCCTATGTCACATTTCAGATGAGAAATACCTACTCTTAGAAGTGTTCAAATCCTACCTTCTGTTCTAGTACTCAGTGTATTAACTCCACCTTCTAGTTAATGCTTGTTAACACATTCAACCTGTATAGAAAGCCATTTAAAAAATTTTATTTTGGTTTCTTTAGGGTTAGGTTTTAGTTTTCAGTTTGTAGGCTGATTTACTTCTTTAAATTTTAGGTCATTATTTCTGGATGCTAAGTCCATTCGGTCCACCCTCTCCACCTCGTAGAATTACTGAAGTTTGGGGTATTCCCTCCCCCATTGATACTGTTTTTACTAGATGCAACTGTGAAGGAAAAACTTTCTTCTTTAAGGTAAGAAAATCATCCTTGTGAAGGAAATCAGCAAATAGTTAATGCATTGTTTATTAAAAAAAAACACACTGCTGTCGAGTCGATTCTAACTCACAGCCACTATGACCACCTAAATCAGCTTGACTTCTACTTTAGAAGTGTCCCCATATTTTAGTAAACTATCACCAAAACTTAATAAAAAGTTCCTATCAGGAAAATATTTGGTAATATTAGTAACTTATTGAAACATTTAGCTAAGATAAAACTTTCGCCCTATACTTAAATCTAGAAACAGGTTCTAAGCCACTTTTTCCTAAGCTATTTTAACATCATTTTCTTTTTAAATTACCAGGATTCTCAGTACTGGCGTTTCACCAATGATATTAAAGATGCAGGGTATCCCAAACAAATAGTAAAAGGATTTGGAGGACTAAACGGAAAAATAGTGGCAGCTCTTTCGATAGCCAAATACAAAAATAGGCCTGAATCTGTGTATTTTTTCAAGAAAGGTACGTGTTATATAATTGACAAAATTACAAAACTTTTAAAGAATTGATTTGCCAGGGAATTTTTATTCAACATTTTCATCTATTACTGGGTTTACTGACAAAGATACCTTTGATGGCTAAATCAAGTATTTTTACTAAAAAAATAAAAACTGAGGGTTAACAAGAAGTATTTAGATCTCTTGATATGCAAATCATAACTCATCTGAGTCTTTCAGGTCATTGATAAAATAACATCTCATCATTTACTTTCAGACAAATAAACCTATAACTATGCAATAACTTGGATTTACTCTTTCAACAATTATTTCAAGATTTAGTAATCATTTTTATAATACTCTTGACTAATAACCAGTAACAGCTGCACATTCTATGAAAAAACATGAACAAAACTATCTTCTCCACCTAGTATAAGCTCATTTTCATCCTTTTAAGAGTTAATGTTCATATTATATGTGATTTTCTAACACATGATAGGTGGCGGCATTCAGCAGTATACATACAAACAGGAACCTGTCAGCAAGTGCACCAGAAGAAGGACTGTTGTCAATTATCCAGTGTACAGAGAAACGATACAGATTAGGCAACGTCGCTTTGAGCGAGCTATAGGACCTTCGCAAACACACACCATCAGAATTCACTACTCTCCCGTCAAACTCACTTATCAGGACAAAGGTAATTTTTTATTGCTAAAAATTTTTACACGTGAAGTAAATGTCATATCGTTTCTTATAGAATAGAGCTTATTAAATACAAATACTGACCAAGTAGCCCTAATAATTTAAGCTTATTGAAGCAAAACATATCAATTTGCCTCAGTGAATGACCAAAGATCAAAACTTTTTCTTTGTGGGTAAGGAATAGTTTATTCAGGTTTGTTAATGAGAATGAATATAATTTATCAAGTACCTCTTGCCAGAAGCATTAATACAATTCTGTAACCCTCAAAACAGTCCTAAGAGATATATATTATGGCCATGTCAGAGAGGGCAAAAAACGAGGCATCAAATTAAGTAACACCTGAGGTAACAGCTACCAAGTGACCAGATGAGATTAAAACACGTCTGTCTGACTCTAGAGGCTCTCTTCCCAGGTTTTAGTCTGAAAGCTTCAATTAAAATGTCACCTACAGGTTTTCTCCATAATGAAGTTAAAGTGAGTACACTGTGGAGAGGACTCCCAGCTACGGTTACCTCAGCTATATCACTGCCCAACATCAGAAAACCTGACGGCTATGATTACTACGCCTTTTCTAAAGGTAAGTAATTTAGTAAAATCTCATTAGCTTCCCAAGGATGTGATCTACTTTCTGAAATATGAATATAGTCAAAGCAAAAACATAAAGCGGTTACCAGAGGGGAGAAGCCAAGCCAAAACACTTATCTAACTGCTCTGAACAAGAGACAGTTTAGATTTTCACTTTAATTTCAATTAAACTGGATGGGATTGTAATTGGATTCTGCCCTGTCCTTCCTGAGATAAAAAGTCCCTTAAGATACACATCCAATTATTTGAGTAAAACTGTTACTGAAAACAGTATTTTACCTCTGTCATCTGTGACATTTAACGAATGCCTTGTTTGCCACAGTTACAATGATTTGCATGGTGACACAGTCCGTAAGATTAGAAAGCGTTTCTTGAGAAAATAATTTTATTACTTAAATTACCCAGGATACTTTTTTTTTGGGAAAGAAAGAAAAAGCCCAGAAATCTAAGTTATTCTGCTTAATGCTAAATGACATCAGAAATACTTATTAAAAGGGATAAACCAAGTGTAATTTAATTACTATTTTAAAAAAAAATTGGGTTACTCTGAAATACTTACTTTGAAAAAGGAGAGTTGAGCTTAATTTTATTGAAAGATGTTGAAAAGTGAATTCAGCAAGGAACTGTTTTTCTTTTTGTGAGAAAGTTCAAATTAATTAATAAAATCGTTTCTGATATTAAAAGAATAATGACTGTTTTTGAGTATAATAACGAATTATTTTTGTTAAAGTTCAAGTGTTCTGTTTCCCTTTTAATTAAAAAATGATTTCTCTTTCATTTAGATCAATACTATAACATCGATTTGCCTAGTAGAACAGCAAGAGCAATTACTACTCGTTCTGGGCAGACCCTATCCAATGTGTGGTACAACTGCCCTTAGACTGATGGCCAAAGGAAGAGCTGACCGATTCAAATGAAGAAAAGAATGATACCTTTTGACACAGAAATACATTTTATTAATAAAGAATGTTAAGATAAGCATACCAATTTAAATACAAAAATGTTTTTAAACTTGACAATAACAGTAAAACACATTCAACAATCCTATTCACAATTACTAGAGTTTACAGAACATTTAATTAATATTTCCTCTATTTATTCCTCCTCTCCCTCCCATTGCATGGCTGACACCTGTAAGAGAAAAAAAGAATCAAACTGAATGCATCTTTTAAGAAGTTAGCTCAAAACTAGGGTATTCACTTACCCTAGTTCATTATAAAAATTGTTTTCAGTATCAAATATGTGCCAGGCACTGTGGATATAAAATTGTGTTAGATATTCCATATCTTCAATGGAAATCATTACATAGCAATGAGATTAATATTTTTATAAGAGAAGGCAATCTCTAACAGTTCCATTAGAAAATATGAAGACATTAAAATTTTACATTTTTTTTTACTAGCTAAGCAAAATCAAAGTTTTATTCTAGTGTATAAAAAGGTATTCAAGAACATGACAATAGATAGGAATATAACAAACAAACGTATGGAACTATAGCACTTTAGATTTTCCAAATCTTACTTTAGATTCAAGAAGTCAATAAATAATATAATAAGCACTCGTTCCTATTTGTAACATACTTATTATGGTATACAAATCAGTCTGCAAGAACCTTAAACCCACTGCCATGGAGTCTACTCCGACTCCTAGCGACCCTATAAGACAGAGCAGAACTGCCCCATAGGGTTTCCAAGGCTGTAAATCTTTATGGAAGCAGACTGTTACATCTTTCTCCCGTCGAGCAGCTGGTGGGTTCAGATCGCCGACCTTTCGGTTAGCAGTTGAGCACTTAACCATACAGATTAGTAAACATTATGTGGTCAACTTGTAATTAATAAATCACCCACTGAAAGCTTATTTTATTATTATTTTTTAATAATTTTGTTGTTGTTATTGAAAATATACAGCAGAATATACATAAACAATTCAACTACCTACCTCTACATGTACAATTCAGTGACATCAGTTATGTTCCTCAATGTGTGCAACCACTTTCATCCTCCTTTTCCTAACTGCTCCCCCCGATTAACATAAAACACACTGCCCCTAAGCTTCCTATCTAAACTTTCAAGTTGCTGTTATCAATCTGATCCCCTGGAGCTGATTTAAAAACCAGATACAAGTTGAAAGCACAGCAACTACCCCACATCTTATGTAATCAGTATGTTACAAATTTACCTCTCTGTCTGTTAAACTGACGGCCACGAACACCTTGTCTCAATGTTGTCTGAAGTCTTACTCGTCTGAAAGGCTTTGGTTGACTACTACTAGTATCTAAGAAAAAAAAAAAAAACCCATTAAGATACAAGGAAAGCAAGTTAAAAAACAAGAAAGCAGCTGTAATGGCAAAAACTAAGTACTAACTATGCACGGATAAAATTAAAGTGCCCATCTGCTTTCAACTTTTTTTTTTTTTTTTAACAATGACAGCCATTTAACAAAAAAGTATAAAGTAAAAAAAAAATCCTTATTTGAAGAAAAACTGCTGGACATTTTTAATTCATCCACTCAACTACTTTAGTAAATATTTACTTAGTGCCTGCCATGTATCAGGCACTGTGCTAGGTGTTGGGGAATACAATGGTAGGTAAACAAAACATCAGGACCCTCAGGAAACAAAGTCAATTACAATACATGAGTCATGCTTGATTCCTTCTTTTCAGACACTCCATATCCAATTCATTAGCAAATCCTGCCAACTCTAATTTAAAAATATATCCCAATTCTGACCACTTCTCACAACCTTTACTCTATCAGCCTAAGTCATCACAATCTCTACCTGGCATTACTGCAATAGTTTCTGAATGTTTTCCTTCTTTCTACTCATTACTCATTTTCAGTCTCTTTTCTACACAGCTACCAGACTGATATTTTTAAACTTTAAGTCAGATCATGACACTTACCTGCTTGAAGCCCTCCAATGGTTTCCTATCTTGCCAAAGCAAGTACGATGATCTCTTTGGTCTACCCTCCTTTTTATAAAATGAAATTTTCCTTTTAAATAAAGCATTTTAAAATTCAGGAGAAAAAACATTTAAAGAATTGTTACTAATAAAACAGCGTCTTTGCAAACAAGTTTGATGTACCAAAGTTGTATTGTAGCCAAGGGCAGAAACTTACCTACAGAAGAGCTGGAAGGAGGATCTTGGCTGGTGGAAGGAAGGTCCGACTCATCAGATGCCTGAACAGGCTCTTCTTCCTGCTGGCTATCAATTTCTAGGCTTGCCTCTGAACTAATACTAAGAAAGAAAATACTAAGATTGATTAAGAAAATATAAAACTGATTCTAGAATGTATTCTAAGTTGTTTCCAAAGTCTTTTTGATACAGTTAATCACTAATATAACCCAGATCTCCCCATCAACTCAAAATTATAGACTATGGTATTTTAAAAATTTTTTAAAGGGCCAGGGGCAAAAAGAGCTCAAGATGTTTCTTATTATGATGTGTTCCAATTTTAGTTTTAGTTCTTCCTTTTTTTGCTATTGTTAATTTTTTTCCTTTCTGACAAAGAATTTTCACATTCTTGACGCTCACAGGAGGTATAGTCTCCAGAATTTGATAAATAACAAAATTTTTGTGGAAAGCTGAGTACTAAGTAATTCACAATAGTCATAATTATTAATAGAATACCAGTAACTCACCATGGGCTCTAGCCCAGATGACCTAGGCTATGGGAATGTGAAATTCTTGGCTCAATGCCTATAACTCTATCTTTCTCTCATTCAAGAAAGCGTATCAAAAAGTAAGTGAAACAGCTAAGAGTACAAGAATAACTTGCGTTTGTTCCAGTTTTTATATTTATAAACTTTAGTCCAATTATTAGTAAACAATTTACCTGAGAGAAATCTCACATGACTGTTTCCTGAGGTTGTGAAGTGTAAAGAACTTGGGGTTGGAGACAAATAGTGTCTGGATTCAAATCCAGGCTGTGCCAGTTACCAGTGGTATATCCTAATCAAGTTATTTTCACACAGTCTCAGCCTGAGTGCTCTCATTTATAAAATGAACTGCATACATGGTTTGCAAATAGTGGCAACTAGTATTCTCAGCAGGGTCTGCAACCTTACACTGTGTTAGTGAACAACAGACCTGCTTTTTTTCTCATATCCAGGACCTGGCCTATAACCTACTAAAACGTCACTAATAAGACAAAGCTCTTCAGTTCTTCCTAGGAAATCTGGGGTCTACTTCTAGCTATGCTTTTAACCATGCAGTGTAGCCCAAATTTCTCATTTTATAAAGAATTAGGTTCCACCTTTAAAGTTAAAACAACTTCTCCAAGACCATTGTCCAATGGCTCTTTCCATTAAATTACTCTACTTCCTTTGACTTAAAAACATCCAGGTGATTTGTCACGAAATACCTCTTTTGTTAAGCTTTCTTTATAAGTGATAAGTTAAATGTAGCAGTGTCTTGAAAACTACTAGAAAAATCTCTAATTTTTATGAAGCCAGTTTCTCAGACACCCAAGTCTAACCTGCACATAAACAAACAGTGGGGATCACATGAAAGCCCACTACTAAATGGAAAGTGAGTCACTTCCTAATAGTCCTAATTTTCACATAAAGGCTTCTTTCTTGGGGAGAAAAGTTCAAGCAGCTACTTTAAAGGGAGAATATCAATGCTTCTAACGAAATACTGTGTTACAGAATATACACTGCAATTTTCAGGGAGATAACTGTTCCTAAAATTCCATCTTCTATAATACTGATATGCTTGGTATGCATTAGGCACAGAGCACAAGTTGCCCGGAATGAAGGAATAGTATAGGCAAAGTTTGTTTTGCTGTGAGGACAATAAAGAAATACTGAACTTGTTTCAAATTTAGACGAGAATGAATTTTTTATCATTTGTTACTGGCTTTACAATTCTAACAAATTGATATGTAGTCATATGTGTATATTCTCCAAGTTCTAAAATATATTACTAGATGTAAAAATTAGTTTTCAAAACAAATGGCTTGGTTTATTTAATAGGATACCATTGGAAAAAAAGCTGAACAGATTTTTTCCTGACTTCAACAAAAACAAACGTAAAACGTCTGGTGAGTCTAAAGCAAAAATTACCACGTAAACACGTACCCTTCAGATTCTGCCTCCACAAACACTTCATCTCCATCGTCACCTGTTGCTGTTTCATTGGTCGTGGATAAAGTGCCAGTGGATGTTGTCACCATTGGGACAGACTGAGAGGCATGCTCTGAGGCATCAGAAGTGGCACTCTCGGTAAATACAGTCACTTCAAAAATAGAAGACAAGAAAAGCAATTAAAATCTTAATTTTGCAGTTTCTCCACTTTTTAGCCAGAAAATGTCTCAGAGGTTCCCAACTTACCAGTGAAACCCAACATCCACGAATCTTTGATACCTACCTGGGGCTGCTACTTGTAGAGGCGTAGTGGGAACACTTCGGCCACCAGACTCTTCTTCGTGAGCTAGGAAGAGGGGTGTTTCATACATTCCTAAACCTAAAGACAATGCTGGGTATTAATGACTGGAAAAAGCTAAAACTGTCAATATGCCAGGTATCTGAAAGAAAAAAATTAATTACCTGAGATCCATAACTTCACTGAAGCCCATAATTTAATTTGCACATCAAGCAAAAATCAATCTCTCAGCCTTCTAATGTAATTTAAGCAAATTTTAAGCTCCCTGACACTGACTAAAGCATCCTTAAAAGTTAGCTAAAAATGCTGCTTTTATAGTTTCACAGAAGCTAACTTTATTGAACACTCAACTATGTTAGATTTCACTCCTCACCAAAACTGAAAGGTACTATTACCCCTCAAGGAGCTTAATTAACTTTGTTAAGGTTACAAAGCTACTAAGTAGTGGCACTCCAAATTAAGCCTAATTCTGGCTCCCAGTTGAGGAACTGCC